CTTGTGTGCTGGTATTCACATTATCTTCGATGGACTGTAGGACATGTTCTGCAATGTTGACAGTCCACGATAGTAGTCTTCTCTCCATATCCTGCATGTTGCTGCGCAGTGAATGACACTTGCATAGAGATTGCACTGCACACGTGCAAACATTTGATGCTGCGAAATTTTTCTGCTGGGGTATTGGTCTTCGTAAACTTGTCTAACTCGGCACCTGCTTTCATCAGCTGCTCCATATGCGAGATGCATAAAGCAATTCATCTTATCACTAGTAAGTCAGCTCATTCACTGATGACAGCGGGTGTGTTTGGGCTAGCTGTACGCTGGTTGGGTACACACAGCGCCCTCATGCATATTTGCAGACATACTTTCCCATGTGAAATCAGTTCCCTGATGTCTTCCCTACCTCCCCACGAAATTTGAATGATAAATTTTGAAACGCCCTGTATACATCTAACACATAGCTTAAGTTGCACTTTTGAAACATGAAAAATGCTATATAAGTGTCATCAATCAGCCAAGTAGAAGAGAAGATACAGAACTGCCCCATTTTCTTTGAGTCATTATACACGATCCCATGTAGAATTTAATTCTTAAACTATGGCATTTTTCCAGTTATCTGCTTGGGGGGATTCACTGCCTTTTTATATGTCTCAGGTGAACAATATCTGCCACATTCACTTCATAATCAGCAGGGAGTTTTAGAATGTTTTTGGAACAAAAGTTGTAATGGTTATCTTCATTATTTCAGCTAGGAAGATTATTAGACAAAACACCATCTGCACAATCCGTGTTTTTCTCATTGAAAATAATATTTATTAACACTTTGATGGTTTTAGTGATTGATGATAAAGATGGTAATTCATAGATTCTTTTTCATACTCCAAAAATATGACCTTGTTTTTGGGTGTTAGTTCGTTTTGCAGGGTAAAAATATGACCTTGTTTTTGGGTGTTTGTTTGTTTTGCAGGGTATCAGGCATGTGCATGAAGGCTTCTGAATAAAAATTTTAAAGTGCTTAAATGAAGCAAATTTTCCAGTCCATAACTGATACAGATTAGAACCTCGAGCATGAGTTATGGGAGTTCTGTTCAAAATATAATTAGCTGCATTTACAGCTTCTGCCCATACATACAAAGGAAATTCTTTGAAATACATAATGGCTCAAGGCCTTTCCACAACTGTATGCATCTCTCTTTCAGATCTTCTATTTTACTGTGGAGTATAAGGAGCTGTTATTTCTAATTGAATACTTTTTTTTTTTTTACTTAGAAAAATCACTGAAATGCAGATTAGTGGATTTGGTTCCTTTGTCAACTTAAAGTGCTTTAACATGATGAGCAATTTATTTTTACATAGGTAGGAAAAATTATTGAACAATTGCAGAGCATCACATAGTGTTTAAGAAGATGGTGAGTCTTAAAATCACTGTAATCATCTTTCATTAGTATGAAATAATTCGTTCAGTGTACTGACTGTACAGACATATGACCATAAATGTCATTGTGTACTAATTCTGCTTGTTTAATAGCTTTATATTCAATGTAACTAAATAAAAATCTATGTTTCAAACCATACTGACAGCTTTCATAAAAAAAAAAAATATCTTTGAGACGTCTAGCTTTTCAATTAATCTTTACCACTCAGTTCACAAACTTTCAAATTTCTTTGTCCTGTTCTTTCATACCTTATTTTTAGATTATTCATGTGAAAAATGTTTACTTTAGAACAAACTATAGGCTTAATAGTCTTTAGTTTCACTACAGCCTGTAACAGGCCAAGGCTATCTCAAAAAGCTTCCTCCAACGGATATGATTAGTTGCTACAGTCGAATAACGATTGTTTTTAAAGTCTTGAGATCTCCTCCACACAGTCTATCCATCTTGTGTGATGTCTTCCTCTTTTCCTGGAACCCTCTGTACTTGCAAAGGTCACATTTTTAACAGGGTTCAAGCGATCACATCTGAAAATATGTCCAAGCCACCTGATACGATAAGACTTGATGCCTCGGAAAATATTGCGTTGTTTGTATCTTTTTTGTTGTCTATGTATAGTTTTAATAAGCATACAATAAAATTTGTTTGTAGAGCATAATGCTGGGCCAACTACCTCAACTTCACAGTTATATATAACAGCACGATCTCGTATTTTATTATCTTAATACCCTTTTACCCATAATAACAAGTTCTGACAGAAAGTTTTTCTTTAAATCTGAATCACAGAGAACACTTTATATTTTTCCTTGCTGTCATTTCCCATGAATAGGCTTTAACCTTTTTCCTTTAATAGGTAATTCTAATTGTAACCAAGACACATAGTTTCACTTCCATTTATCTCACTCAAGCTGTCAAAAGTAGCTGAGACTGTAGGTCGTATGAGCAGATGCACCTTCTAAAACCCACTGCTCACGATTTCTTTTCACATTTTCCTCTATTTTGCTGCTAAATGTACTATAATGTGTTATAATTCTTTCTGGAACACTAGTTCCTTTTCTATGTGGCTTGAATATACATTCTGGAGAGTAATGTACTTTCTTAAGACACACAAAGCATTTTTGGCTTTATGTATACTTCTGGTATTTAAAAAGTTGTCCTCATTTTCTGAATATCAATATATTGCTTTTTCTGCCTAAATTTACTGCGATTAGAAGTGAAATACGTAGACTCATTTTTCTCAGATTGTGATAAAGAAGTTTCTTCTGCAGTCAGATTTGAGAAGTTTTGTTTACTATCATTGATGGATAAAAGTACTTTTCCGAAATTTTAATTACAGTTGCATCATTGATACCTTAAAAAAAATCCTTGATTTGATGAGCAATAGTTTCAACTTCTGCAATGTACTGCAAGACTATTTCATTACATTCCATTTCCAGCTGATGAAATTTGTCCAACAACATTTCGTTAAAGTCAGATTTCAATTTAAAGATAAAGCTAAATTTTTTATGCGTTTCATTTGATGAAAAACAGCTGTCCATAAGCATGACCTGTGAAAGTTCCATTGCAGACAAGAGTGTAAACATTGCAAATGTGTCATCTTTTTCGCATTTTACTATTGAAACATCATTTTCTCTCTCTAATTTAATTTCATTGATGACAGAAAATACTCCTTTTTTTGTCCTGAGAGCATTAGTAATTTGAAATTTCTATTGTGAATAATTTTGTTATTTAAATTTGTTTATAGAAGACACAATTACATCGGCCCAGGTAACTTTTGTTTTCTAAACATGTAAACGGTAGCCAAAAGGATACTCTTACATTTATACATCATTATTTTACACTGGATTGAAGCCCATAAAAAGTCAGCTTTATTACAGCTTCAAGTCAAGTCAAGTGATGTAATAAATAATTACAGGTGACACACATTAGAGAAACATATTATAGAACACAACTATGTGATACAAAAGTGTTGCCAAACAGTATAAGGTTATGTGAAAGGCTAAATAAAGTTTCAAATTATTATGCCAAATTAACATTTGGAAAATGGACAACAGACTTAAAAATTTAAAAGAAGACCATTTGGATGAGTCTTCAGTATCAAACTTCTTGGAAATGCATTCAAGTACACTGCTTGCCATTAAAATTGCAAAAACATGAAGGAAAACAAATACAAAAAAGATATTTGTTATACATAAACAGTATGGCATGAAGACAAAATGATTAAATATGTAAGCAGTTTAGGGGTTCACAGTGGTGAAATTAATAGAAACAGCTGCCACTCCTGGCAGCTAAAACGGCTCTTACCTAGTTAGGGATGGAGTCGAACTGGGCTTGGATGACAGAAACAGGCAACTCGTTTCATGCTGCTTCAAGTCTATGCCACACTTCATCAACCGTATTAGCTGGATAAGGGTGGTGGGCCACTCTTTCTGAAATCCATGACCAGATGTTTTCAATAGGTGATTGATCTGGAGACAGTGCAGGCCAGGGCAGGAAACATATACTCTGTGGATCGAGAAATGTCAGGGCACGACGTGCAATATGTGCTATTGCATTATCTTGTTAGAAGATTGTGTTTGGCAGGCTTTGAACAAAGGGCAGAACAACTGGACGCAAGATGTTGGAAATGTACCAATCTGCGTTCAAATTACCATCGATCCGAACTAGAGATGTGCATGTTGTGTACCCAACGGCTGCCCAAACCATCACTCCAGGTGCAGGACCCCTCTATATCGATATCAAATGCAAGCAGGCACTTGTTATTATTGGAGGTATGATATTTTGAGCAAAATTCCAACCATACAAAGTGCTTTCCGGATGAGAAATCCACTACATAAGTTTTCTTTTATGCAGTGCTTTAGATGCTGTTTCACCTTCATGTGCCGTCTAAATGGGCTAAAATACTAATCATTTGCATTCCCAACCTCTTCTTCCTTTCATGTAATTTTGAAGTTTGTCATATCATTTCTTCCTTGTGTTCAATTTTATTGGCCAGCAGTTTAATTTTGTCACAACAACTGCTTTCTATTCTACACTTCAATGAGACAGTGAATGTTTCACTGCCTTTCTCAGGGAGAATGGAAGTGGAGTTATGGTAACTGCATATTGCAATATGACCTAATTATAGTAAAACTAAGATCTTTTCCAGCGGGTTATTAAATGATTGACATGCTTACTATAATATTTTTAAGTAAAAATCTGGGAGTTAAATATTCTGTCCTTAAATATCCTTTCTCATTCAGTTCTTTTCTCACCTTTAATAATATTTATATTTCATTCTTAATTTTTAAAATATGACTATCAAAAATGATGAAACTTATTTTTAGGCATTTTTCTACTTTGTCTAGTATTCTCAGGTAAAATTAACAATGGTCTCAGTTATTGATTAAAAAAAAACATTTTGTAAAGTTATTTTGAACTATTAGTACCAGAATAATTACTAAATACATTTACAATTGTGAATGATTGTTTCATAGGGATCATCAATTAAATTAATTACAAAATACATAATTATGAACAATCATAATCTAAAATATTAAAGAAGTACATAAAATTTGTACTAACCTGTTTAAAGGCTAACATTAATTCTTTTGATAGTTCCATATCTTTAAACATTCCTTCCAATTTGCTTGTAAAAGCAGCACCACATTCCTGCTTTAGTTTTGATAACATTGATTTTTCAGCATCAACAGAAGCACTTTTACCCACTAACAGCCTTTTAGCTAAATCTTTTTTGTAAAATGCTTCAAAAACATCTTTTCCTTGAAAAAGAGAGAAGGGGAAAAGTATATTTTTAAATGAAAAAGCATTTTAAGTTCTACATTATGTAATGAATTATTTTAAGCTCATAAAATTAAAAAGGTGAGGCTTTTGCTTTTTAATATAAAAAGTGCTAGAAATACTTTCACAATATGACATGCTGCAAAGAAGACTAGCACAACAGCTGGAGAAACCAGCAGGGCAGCACCAGGCTGCAGAATACACAAGTAGAGGCACTAGGCAGCAGAATTATGGAGTGGCAGTAATTGTACCAAGCAGCAAACAGCCTAGGTTTGGAACTGTCTGGAAGTAATTTTTTTAAACATAATGTAACACATATAAAATCTTTTTCTGACTTAGTTTTTCTGATATCTTCATTCCATTGAATTAACACTATGTTACTACAAATATCAGATACCACAAATTATATAGCATCAATATTTTTTTAAAGCAGAACATCTAAAGATGATTAAAAAAATCTGAAAGTCTTCAGATTTTATATTACGCCCAAAGGGGTGTTTTATTTAACATTTTGTGTGTAACTTTTATTTAATATCACGTTCTTCACGCTTAAACCATAAAACTCAATTCAACAGCAATATTCTAGAATGATTTTAAAATGAGCATATCTTTAGAATTTCAAATACAGTCTTGCGCACTGAATATAAAAATGTTTTTTTTTTTTTTTTTCCTGTACAGTGTTGTCATTGCTCGTTTTGAAATCGTTGAGTTTGTTAATCAAATATTTGTTAAAAGTTTACAAAATATGAAATCAATAATAAAACAAATTCCAAATTAGGGCTTCCCGATGCCTATATTCAGTGGAGGATTATGTTGTTGAAAATTTGATGGCTCTAGGTACTGTTGTCTTATCATAATACGAGAAACATACACACAATTATGTAGATTCTTCATTATTTAATTTCTTTAATATACATGGCGATAATATTTGGTAGTCACAATTTAAAAAGTGAAACGGACATTTAAAGTTTTCAGTGCAAAATCCCTTCTGGGGTAAAAGGGGTAAAAAGAAAAATTTATACAATACAAAGTTTGAAATTTGGACATTTAATAATGAAAAAGATCTTATTATCTGGACATCCCATAAAATGTTTTTTGAAAAATTTTTTAACAGATCACATTGTACTCGTAAGCTAGAACTAGTGTGCCATAATTTTTTTTCCTTCCCCATTAGCTGAATTATTTTTTGTGAAAAACCTCATTAATTATGATAATAATGAATCATCCTGCATGCTGCTTTGTCTTTAAATAACTGCCAGTTAGCTTAATCACATTTTGATTTTTGGCTTTCAAACATTTGTGTGTATCCAGGAGTAAGTGGCATCATTTTTCTAGTTTACCTAGCCCAGTTTACTATAAGTGGATCCAATGTTCATTTGAAATGGAATGCTGTATATAGTGTTTCTGTTTGTTAGGAATAGCAAGGAAGAAGCTAAAGAACTAGGTTTGGGTTAAATTATAGTTTAACTAACAAAATACAGAGCACTTTTCCTTAACCCTTTGATGGTCAACGAGCTCAGCTCGGATTCCAATTACGCACTGCAGGGGATATATATGAACTCAGCTCACATTACAAATTTACAAGTGACAAAAATCATGCTATCTGGAAAGAAAGAATTGCTTAATCTTGTTATCTCCGAAGAATTAATGATCTGATCCAGCTTTTTATATTATTAACTGTCATCAGTTTTGGCAAAGATAACATCTGCATTTTACTTTCTCCTACGAGGGTTGGAACTTTAATAGCGGCAACTATTTATTTACAAGGAATACAAAAGTGATTCATGTCACCATGTTTTACAGTCCTTCAATATAGTTGCCAGCATTGTGTACAACCCGTTTCCAACGATGTGGAAGTCAAAGAATACCTGTAGCAGCGCCTGTTTTGTTGATAGTTTGAATGGATCGGTCTACTGCCGCAAGAATCTCAGGAACAGTTTGGAAGCGAGTGCCACGAAGTGGTTCCTTCATCTTAGGAATTAAGTCATAGTCACAAGGGTTTTTAGATCTGGTGGGGAGTATGGTGGATGGTAAAGCACTTCCCAGCCCCATCGCTTGAGAAAATCAGTCACAGCCTGCGCTGCATGCAGCCGAGCATTGTCATGCAAAATGAGAGGAGCGTTCTGCAGAAAGTGTCGCCGTTTTTTTCTCAAAGCCGGTCGGAGATTGTGCTCCAAAAATGAGCAGTAATACTGCGCAGTGATGGTCTGCTGTGGGGGAACGGTATGCGTTAGGATGACACCATCACAGTCGTACACGAGAATCACCATAACTTTCACATTGCTGGGGTTCTGACGAAATTTCGAACGTCGTGGTGACCCGTGATGACGCCATTCGTTTGATTGGCGTTTCAGTTCTGGCTGGTACGATCGGGCCCAAGTCTCATCCAGCGTAATGGTATGGCGTAAAAAAGCATCTCCTTCGTGCTCCAGGTGGGTTTGGGCAGCATCGTATCGTAGCCATTTCTGCATTTCCGTCAATTGATGTGGAACCCATCGTGAAGCAATTTTTCTCATGGACAGGCGTTCCTTCAGAATGTGCAGCACAGTTGTATGCGCTAATCCTGTTTGTCCGGCCAGCTGACGAATCGTTTGGCGGTGATCACTCTCCATTAGTGTGGCAACAGCTTGCACGTCTGCATCGCTGACACTCGGACGACCTGGCCGCAGCATGTCTGCATGTTTTGGTGTCCTTCATTGAATGCTTTCACCCATCTTGCTATGGTTCTGTAAGGCAATGCAGATTCCCCGCAAGCCTCTTAAAGCCCTGGATGACACTGTTGTACTGTACGACCTCAGGCACATTAAATTTTTCTCCAACATCGTTGTTCTTGTTTTGAAAACATCCTGACAACACTTACTTTAGACCGCGAGCTAATACAAGGATCCGTTCTTCACGTCACTCCGCATGCGCGTGACATAGGCAGGACGAGTCTTTTTGCTGAGAGGTAAGGTAGGTATGTAGTTCACAAGTGGTATACGCGATATTCTTTGGTTTTGTTGCGTAGCATTTTTTCAGCTGTGTTGCCACTATTAAAGTTCCAACCCTCGTACAAACTTTATATCTGTCAATCAACCAATGAAATTAATGCATATATTACAGCAGTGCTTTTGAAATTGGTGCAGAAATAAGGCCGTCTGATAATTTTTGAAATTGTGTGGAGCATTGCAAGGTCATGAAAGGACAGGTCTGTTGATACTTTTAAAAATGCTTGCATTGGCCGACGTCTACAATGCCTATTCTTGAAAGACAGTTGCATCGTTCTTACAAGCGACAGAAAGGAACATTTTGCCTTGAAATATTAATGTTTTATTTATATGCGGCACCAATCACACTGGTTGCTGAAAATGCTGGAGCTACGCCTGTTTATGGTCAGCTACCATATTTAAAGACAGTGATGATTATGAATATGCTATATTTATACGGGACATCAATTGTACTAATTGCATAGTGTGTCAGAAATGCTGGATCCAGCCTCTTTATAGACAAGCTACCATACTGCATGACTTGGTGATGATGACAGCAACAAATTTGAAGACTTTTGGATAATATCATGAGTGAAATGTGAAACTTTTTTATGTGTGTGTTGTGACTTCTCTCATTTGTCTGACAGTAACGTCAGAACATGCCCATGAAATATTGGGTCATATAAAAAGTCTCCGCACTTTTTTGCCACTAGATGGTGTCAATGCCTACATATCCAGCAACACTCACTTGATTGTCTCAAACGAGCATGTGCTTAAAAGGTGATATTTACCTTCCACTGTTTGTGAAGATAGTTTTATAATTTGTTACTCGTGTAAAAAGTTATATGAATTTGAAAACGAGTGAAATGTATGAAGAAATAAATACACTATGTGTTGCTTTTTTACTATAAAAAACGTAAAAATGCAGCAAAAACATGCCAAAAAATTTGTGAAGTGTACGATGAGATGTGCCACTATCCCAGTTGGGTGGCGAAATTCTTTAATTAATGGAACATGTGAAGAAATGTCAAATGACGATTATATAACTGAAATCCTTCACTGCTATAATAGCACTCCAGTCATCAATCAACAGAGGGCAATATCTGTAATAAGCCGAAACGGCAGAAAACATCACCATTTGGACTTCGAATGACATTTTAATTTCATGAGGCTGTTATTCAAACTCAATCTTTGTGCAGCACACCAATTATTTTTAAAAAATGGAACACCTGCTTGTTCATCTCTTGGCAAAACCCAAATTATAAAAATCTATTTTAGGAAAAAAATTAGAAGAGCATGGGTGTGTCAAAAAAGAAGTCGAACTGGTGACAGCTGGAGCTGAGGAATTATGCCAAATCAAAAAAGCACCATGTCACTTTGACAAAAAAAAAGTTTTCTGATTAATGGAATGTGTGAGGATTATATAGCTGAAATCTTCATTGCAAAGATAATGTCCAAGTTATTAATTATTTAATGAATGGTAACACCTGTAGTATGGTTTTGAATACAGAAGTTTTTTGATATTTCCATTACAGGACTTGACCAATGATATTTTTACAGAAGGTGTTTAAACACTTTTAGAATGACTTCAAGGCCATTTAATTCATGTTTAAAGTGTAATGAGTATTGTTTTAAATGTGTGATCTGATAACTTTTCTAAATTATAAGTCTGCATTATGATTTCCATGACAGAGAACATTTCGTAAAATTTTCGTGAGTATTTATTTTTGTTCCTTTTGTACTACTTTCCAGAGTCCATCAATTGTGGTTGGTTTTTGCTTAGAAAGAGCTCTTTTAAAGAGATCAAAGTCACTATGGTCCATATGTGAAGCATCAGGAAATTTCACAGGAATACCTTGAAAAGATACATATGCAGTACCTGTGCGATGGACACACAAAGATGAGAAATTTATGTGTGTGGTTCTCCACAAGTCACAGTGTTCACGCTGTTACGAGATGTGAGACAGCAAGCTCTGATACTGTAGAAGCAGTAAGTTGTCTAGAAAGCTTGGCCATCCTCTTTCCCCTTTATGCCACTAAGAGTCCCCTCATCCCGCAGAACTAGGCATAGGGCTTCAACCTCTGCCCTGGAACCTTGGAGAGAGGGATGTGCTGCTTATGCAACACTGATCGTTGTCTATGATTTGCTAGATGCCAGTTGCTCAGGCTGCCCGTTGCAGAGGGACATGACCCAGCAAACCTGGGGCACTACCCCTGGGATACTAGAGCCATCTGCTCTAGGATGTGACCTTTGCAAGGCCTCCAGAACCACTAGGTTCGTAATTTGTATACCTCCTTGGCTGAGACTGCCTAGGTACAAATACTAGCCAGCTCTGCAGACGTCTACGTCAACCCCCGGGGAGGTTCTTCAGTTAAGTGACAACTAACAATTGACAGTGTTTTGCAACATTTGAACTCTCGCCCCACTGTATTGCGAACAAAATTCTTTCACGGGCTGCACTAACTGATTTTTTGTCTTTCGCCATATCATCAAATGCAACGTTTAACAGTGTTGTCAGAAAGCAATACTTGGGAAAGCTTTTGTTTACTTTTTAGTCCAAGAACAATGCCAGCTTCTTTCAACAGTCAAGGTTTGAAGAGCGCTTCTCAGATAATATGACTTTTCCTGGCCTTTGCAATGACTAAAGATAACTCATACAGAGTTTTGAGAGCTTTTTCAGATGACTGAGCAAAGTATACAATATTACTAAATTTTGGAAATTTCAAATTTCCACCTTTGGCTTGTCTTTTAATGTATCCTGTTTTGTTGATAAATGTTTCTCCATACGAAAAGCTCTCATAGCATCACTATTCAATACTTCGTAACAAATAACACATTGTGACTCGTCTACACCATTCTTTTGTATAGGAACAAAACTGTAATATAATCATCATTGTGTTTGTGATTTTTTTCAAACTCACAAAGAAGAAAAAAATAACAAATTGATACTTCATTTTCGCATTAGAAGCACAGGCTACTTGCATCCAGAACTCAAACAATGCCGACCTCTTGACAAACATGACCTTCAACACCAGCTCAACTACTATTTCACGCATGTTCAAAAAGATATCAAGGGAATATCTACTTTGACAATTATTTGCCAGTTTGGATGGGCAAAAAAATATTAAGGTTGGATAGATACCCTCTAAAGTAAACCTGGAGTTTATTTTTTCCCTCTGCAGTCTAACGCAGTCACTCCTATTTTGGTAAAGCTTTTGTTATTTAACATACACGTTTCGCCCAACTAAGATACAAGCAGAGTTTGGTGAGATGATGTGGGTGGTGCAGTAGGCATAAGTGGAAGTACTGCTTGCCTGGTCCATGCCCCCTTTAGATGTTGTCCTAGCTTCCTTGGGGGAGTGCACCCACTTTGAAAATCAATGTGCTAGAGGGACACAAATTTACAGTGGTTACCAATCACAAAGCTGTAATATTCGCTTCCAAACAAAAGCTTGAAAAAATGGTAGTCACATCAAAATCGCCAACTAGACTATTATGCAGTTCAGAACTGATATCCAGTACATAAAAGGAACCGTTAATGTTGTTGCCAATGCATTATTTTACATTCACGATACTTAAAATTATTGATTCTATTAATTATGAAGAAATTGCTCAGGCACACACACACACACACACACACAAAAAAAAAGACTGATGATGAATAATGAGGTAAAAGAAATATTAAATACTAACAATTTTAAAAAAAAAAGCTAAGCTTCTAGATTTAGAAATACTTATTAGATCAAAATTTAATTGTGATCTATCTATTGGAATAGAAAGACCATATATTCTCAAGGCATTCCAAAAACTGTGCTTTAATTGCATTTATGCAGCCATTCGAATGACGTCAAAATTAGTTCACAGCTGATATGTGTGGCCAAATATCAATAAAAATGTCACAAACTGGGCAAGACAGTGTTTTCTGTACCAAAAACCTAAAATACGAAAATACACTCCAGCACCTTCACAATCATTATTTAGTGTAACTCCTACATGCTTTTAACATATTCATTTAGATCTCACTGGCCCACTTCCACTTTCAAATGGACTCACGGCCTAACAGCTATCGATCAGTTCACTAGATGAACAGAAGCTATTTTCATCATCCATATTCAAGCTACAACAGTAATGGAAATGTCTACAGAAGCAGATCTCTCGCTTTGGTGTTCCAGCTACTATTACAACTCATCAAGGATGTAAATTTTTAGTCTTGTTTATTTAAGGCTTTAACAACAGTCTTAGGCATACAACTAATACACAAAACTGCTTATCAACCTCAAAGCAATGGCTTAGGAATTTCATAGCCTGTTAGAATAGCTTGCAAAGAAAGCATTGGTAGCACTCCCACTGAACTTGTGTATAAAACTACAATTAAACTTCCGGGTGATTTTTTTTCGAGACATGAAATGTTGAAACTGATGCTGTTGAATACATCAAATAACTTCAAAGCTGCATGCAACAGCTTACACCCAAATCAGCTGGATCACATGTAACAAAAGCATTGTTTATTCACAGAGATTTCAAAAATGAGACTATCGATTCAGGAGGCATGAAAATTGAGCAATGCCCTCGTCAAAATTCGAATGCCTGACCGCCTGAATATACATTGAATGTGCTTCCAGTTACACCATGAAAGCATGTGGAGAGAAGGGAGAAAATACCTTTCATACACCCAATTTAACCCTTTCAGTACGGGCGTGTCATATGTGCATCAGCAGCAAACATCACCTCATGGCCGGATGTGTCATATTTGAATTGCCATTTAATTCACTCTACCAGTCGGGGGAACCACATTTGACTTTTTAGATAGAACGTTTAATTAATATTTTTTCTTGCTGCTAGATGTAGCTGTATGCCTGTTATGGGGAAATATATCGAAAGTAAAGTATGTTTACCTTCATTCCAATGCTATGATTTTTATTTTTTATATTTTGTATCGGAATGAGAGTGAGATTCGTGGGTGGGTGTTGAGCAATGTAATGTCTCTTTAACTGCGTCATTTGATGTAAACAAATGCATGTGCTCTCGCTGCATTGAGGTACTTCTTTTTATTTTTGCAATACAGTGGGATAAACGTTTTATCATTAGACATTTTTTTTATTACTCTTTGATTTTTCCTACTTTGAGATGAATAGTTTTAATCATCAGCAAAACGTATCTTTTTTTAATGGCAAACAAAAGCAGTATCTAAACGTAGAATATACACAATCGCTAATTCGTTAGTGTTGAGTAATATAATGGCTCTTACTGCATCATTTTATATAAACAAATAAACATGTTCTCGATGCTCTGGAATACTTTTAATTTAATTTATTAATTTTTATTATTTTTATTTTATTTTTTTTTATCAGTTATAGTGGCGTAGATGTTCTATCATTAGAGACCTTTTTATTAATCTTTGAGTTTTCTGGCACTGAGACGAATATTTTGTATAGCTTAGCGAAAGTTTTTTTTTTAAAAAAATGGCAAAATGAAAGCACTACCTGACCGTAGAACATATACAAATGCTAAATGAGTCAAATTTGCTGAGTAAAATAGCAGCAGATATTATATTCCTGTGACTAATGCAACATTGCTTACTTCTTGTTGTTTACTCGTTGAATTTTTATGAAAGTCAGTTTTAATACTATTTTAAAATTTTAATTGTGTTGTGCTAAATAAAATCTGCGATTGTTTGGATATTTTTCCATATATATTGTTATGAAATGTACAGGCGCGGTAAGATAGCTTCCCCGCAAAGCAGTTTTAGGGTTGCCATAAAATTGCAAGGGGAAGCAGGGTTGCCACATTTGGTGACAAAATTGGCAATATACCATGGACGGATGAAGAACCTTCTGGAACGAATTCTTACCGGTTTATCCCAGAATGTTCTCAAACAACGAGCCGAAAGCTATTTAAACCCTGCTGGTCTAGAGTCAGTTAGTGTGTGTCTCTCATCAGTTAGTCCGCGTGGAGTCGATCGAGTTGACAGTTGATCAGCGAGTGCACCACAAGAGTCTCATAGTATATCGCGGTTAGTGCATCGTCAAGAGAGCATGTTGAGCTCCGGGAACGACTGAAGAGTCGGGAGCTGTGCTCGTGTGTCGTTGAGTGCATCGCGAGTTGTAGTGTGGAGAGTCTCGAGAATACATGAAGTTCCGAGAACGACTGAGCAGAGTCGGGAGTTTTGCAGTGAAGCTATCTCCACCGTTATTGCCTGACAGTGTGAAGGCTGTGTCACTGATTGTTCCAACGTGTTTACAGTAGATCTTCGACGACTGTAAAAAGTGACTTTGGAGCTGTCCTGATTAATATTGGCTAAATAAAGTGTGTTTCCATACTTCATCAAGTGTTGTCATTATTCACTCCAAATCTACAAACCTCGTACGAGCGCGAAGGAAGAAAATAACATAACAACTGGTGTCGGAAGAAAACGAAAAAACGCAACAATATTTATTTGCGAGATAAGGGGAAAATTATATTATTCTAGAATGAGTATTTTATAAAATTTTTAAGGAAAATATAATAATAAAGGCTTCAAATTAATTCTGATGACGACCTGAATGTTCTTCTCATAATGTATCCAAATTTGGAAAAATTGGATGACAAATTTTATTCATACGAATTTTTTCCAAAGTTAGGCTTAGCACCACAAATTTCCCGTCCCCACAGGACGACGCATCCGTTTAACACGCCGTCTCAAGAGAACGCTTCGGTAACAGAGGTGCCCGTCGCGAACGGGTTAAAATGCGAGTGGAGATGAGGGACCCAATCACCAAATCATGCTGGTAACGAATTATTGTCCACCACCAGTTTAGTTTGGGTGTCAATGTAAAGTAATTAGGTTTTTTGAAGCAGGATAGGATTTTTTAAGACAATGCATGTTTAAATAAAGACCAACAAAATTTCATACATACCATGAATGAATCTGAACAAAACCATTATTTTATCAAGAAGGCGTTCCAATTCTTCTTCAGTTGCTTCCTAGATAAGATACAAGTAAGGAATCAGTGCATCTAAATACTAGCATACAGAAAATTCTTATAAAATTTGACTGAAACTTTTAACATTCTCTAATTTATTATACAAGTAAAATTTCATCAGTTTCAGATCATTCCGACTTCATCACAAATAAGATTTTTCCATCTACATATATTCTTTTTGAACACACTAACTGCATATAACTCTTTACTTTCATCTGTCTGACTTCCTCTCATACTTTATTGGTAGAAGGAACACAGCAGTCATTACACAGGGAGATTACAAAATGAAGGTAACAAATAGCTTGGAAAGAAAGCCTGAAATTCACCTGCTGACCCAAGGGTGATTTTCACAGCTAATATTTATAATTGCAATTAATTCATAATATTTTTCAGCACAAAAAGCTTCTAAACACTGGCTATGCATTAAAAAAATTATTTGTGAAACACAATTTACTTGACATAAGAATATGAAATTTGCATAACAGACAAACAGGTTTTGAAGAAATATCTGTCAGTCAGTCAAAAATAATTTGTTTGACAAAGTATACTTAGACGACTTAGCTGCGAGAGTGGTGCAGTCGATAAGATTCTTGGCGCAATGCTTTTCGATATAGTGTTAAAGGGACAATATGCAAATCTCTTGGTGGAGAGTCGAACTAGCCACCACAGGAACTCCACGATCAGAAAGAGTAGCATTGAGATGAATCTTCATTTTGCACACAGACAGAGTGGCTGTAGAATGACAGACTACACTAAATGAGGGAAAGCAGATATGCCTCTGGCATACAGAGCCGCAGACTGTAATGGTTTTGGTATGCCAAAAGGTACCCATTGAGGCAAACTCCCACCTATGCCATGTTTGTGCACCTACACCAGCCACATACTGTAATGGTTGAGGTGGTATTCCGAGAGGTACCCGTTGAGGGAAACTCCCACCTCTACCATGTTTGTGTGCCTACACCAGCAAATTATTTGACAGCAGTTCTTTTCATGAGGCCACACATAATTATGATCGAATGACATGTATGCCAGTCAATGAGGAAACTGTGCTAGGTCTAGCAGACAGCACTCCCAGTAGAAGTACACGAGGTACAGTGAATAAAATCCTGATTTGATACAACACCCCGTAGAGGATTCTGAATTGCAACGCTGTGCATCCATATCACTTACAGCGTATTCAGTTAAGGGAAGACTGTGATTTTCAATCTCATCAGGCTTTTTCACATTGGTATTTGCATAAACAAACTGCAGATCCATGTTTTCCAGCCTCTGCACTGTTCACAGATGAGGTATATTTCACGAGAAAGGTATTTTTAACACTCATAACAACCATGCATGGGCAATGGTGAACACTCATATGTACTCGAGCTGCAAAGACACGTTTTATGGTAAACGTACAGACTGGCACTGTGATTATTTTCTTGGGCCATACCTGTTGTCTAAAAAGTGCAGACTCCTTGATATTCTTGGAAGAAGTGTTACCAGAATTACTACAGACAATTAGAATTCTTTTGATCTGAACAACTTGGGACCAAGGGATTTACAAATTAATAAATTTTATGGATAATGTATTCCTAGGTATTATACACAATTTTCCCTTTCTAATTTACACTATGTATGGACACATTCACGTAACAGGGTTCCACTCAAACAGGAGAATGAAATTCCCTGACTTTTCCAGGTGTGTTTTTTAAAAAACTTCCAGTCTATCATTGGCTGTTCTAAGAGGTGGATTAATTATATTATTAGTTGAAAACACAAAAATTTGCCTATTACATATGACTTATAGATACAATCCCCAAAGCATTATGATTATAACTATAATAGGAGTTGTTTCTCCACTGAAGATTGAGATTAGAATCTGCCCAAGCTGGATTAAAAAATGTCTTTTTTTGCAGACATTTTACAGCTAAACAAAAGAAATTTATTTAATGATATTTTTAAATAAATTCAGATATTTAACAACATACATCAGCAAAAAATATGTGCATTAAATTTTGTGATGGTATGTCATTATACTGCTAGAATTTATTTCAGGATTATGCCAGAGAAAATTTCCTGAAATTTTGAAAGTATTATTTACTAATAATAAACAAATTTAGAGAGAAGAAGCAACATTAAATGATACGAATAACATAAGAATAAAGATAATTACTCAAAAATTAAATTAGAATAATCAACGATATTTTAGCAAATATAGTTTTATTAAATGGTTAGCCTAGATGACTGATTACTATTTTTTTTATTTTACTGCAAAATGACAAATAAGGCATTTATTTAAAAAAAAAAAAAGTTTAAAAGATTTTGTGGTAAAATTCTAATATACGGTGATGCCTTGGCACAATTTTGAAAATTGTCACCAACACCAAAATGAACCGTTTACTACTCAGCATAATGTTACCAAATCCTGTGTGTACCGTACATGGAGGTTATTCTAACCAAAGAACATCTATGTAAAGAAGGAAAAATTCCATAAACGTAATGCTATTATGCCACTAGAAAGTGAAGGGAAAATTCGCCAAGGGATTTGGCGACAGAACCTGGCAGCCAGAATTTCCCTCTCCGTGATTGTGTACAGGAAACTGAGGAACACATGTTAAGAAGTGTTCTTTGACAAAACGTTTCTTCTTTGATTTTTTGCAATAATTTAAACATGGATTTTCGTGTAATTGTTTTTTCTTTTGGGTCAAAATAACTAATCCATTAATTAATTAATTTACTTGTGCCAAAAAATATTTATTTTCCTTTAAAGTTTAAAGAAATATTAAACGATATTAATTTTATGAACTCTTGATAACATGACCTACGAATTCGACACCGGCTTCGAGCTTTGGTGATATTTCGTGCATGTTCCCTCTATGTTGGAATGGAGCCACTCCTGTTGCAGAGAAGTTTTCCTTCTTAACAATACATATTTTTTGATTCTCTAACCTCCACGGTACCATATACAGTACAAAGTCTGTAATCCGGACGTCCATAATCCGAAATGATCTATGATCCGGACCTCAAAACTACAAACTTTATGCGCATGCGTAAGCGTTAACGCATTCAGTTAATGTTGCAGATTGTGCTGTTCCTTAATCTTGTAACTGGATCCGGGTTATTATTTTTTGTAGACTGTTAGAACAATTTTATAAAAATTAAGCTTGAACTTTTGATTATGTCAAAAAGAGTTTCCAATTCTGGAGCTGCCAAAGGATCTACAAAGCGAAAGCATGTTTCGATGTCCATTAAACAAAAAGTGGAATTCCTGCAAAAAATGGATAAAGGCTTATCCGTCTCAAAATTATGTGAGAAGTATAGCACTGGAAAATCCACTATATATGACACAAGAAAAAGGAAATTTTTGACTTTTTTGTGGAAGTATCGTAAACAACTTACATTGAAAGAAATGTTTAATAAAGTAAACAAATAAATATTAAGCTTTTTTTTTTTTTTTTTTTTTTTTTTTGTAAATTTTGATACCCTTTAGATCATTAATTGTTCTTTATTTCATAAATTATGATTCCATATTATTAATTGTATAATTTCTGCATGCCATTTTAGCAGATTTAAATTGATTATCTATAATCCGGAAAAACCCCTAATTCAGAAGTCCAGACGAGTCTGGATTACGGACTTGGTACTGTACTAGGATTAAACCGATTTTGTTTTATACGAGAATAAGTATTTTGTTTAGTTGAACATGCACTAAACATGTAATTCTCTCGATTCTCAAGGTTACTGGAAACCTGCTTTGCTTTTCTAAAAGACAATCTAATTGGAGCTGTGAAAATTGGCTCTATGCCAGCTGCCTGAATGACGCTCACGCAATACACAATTTGCCAAGAAAGTGATCGCTTCCAACATCGGCGCAAAACTCACTTTTTGTGAAGGGGGAGATCGCCATATAAACTTCCCTGACTTTTCCTTGAATTTTTTGGTCGATTTTCAAATTCCCTGACTTTTTTCGGTTTTCCCGGTAGTGTGACAAACCTGATATAAATAACTAAAATAAATAATTATATTAAGAAATCTTTATTGCAAAACAATTATACTTTTAATATAAGTATACATAATTCATTAAGGTTATAAAGGCTTACTTTTATATTTTTGAATTATCATTCCTGTTACTGCTTGTCTTAGAACTTTAGTTTTTTTTCATTGTGTTTCTCCAAGGTGCACATATTAACTTCTTTCCTGGTATGTTACAAAATTTTCCCAAGAAAGTTTAAACTGTTGTCTAAAGTAATTTTTACCTCCTTGTCTCATTATTTGAATTTTCACAAACATACTGAAATAATTTCATCATGAGAGAGCTGCAACCTAACATCTAGCGAAAAGAATATTTACATTTTTGACGTTGTTAATAGAAAGAAAGCAGCAATCTACATTTGCTTAGCATAGCTATTTCAACATAGAAGCTTAGAAAGGTTTTGGTTTGAATTAGCTACACCATCATCAATCATTATGTAAACGTCATGAAATAGATTAATATAGAAATGACACAGTCCAAAAATTTTTTACTATTTTTAGTACATAGAGGGGGAAATACCAAGATTAAGATGAGGAATTAAGGGGCTATTGTTAATTTAAGTTATAATTTTGATTTACATATTCCCCCTTCAGACAGAAAAGCTGAGCAACAAAGAAGCCTTTTTAGAGATAAAGGGCTAAGGCATGGGTGTCTAAAGTGTGGCCCAAACCCAAATTATGAAAGTATTTAAATTTACACATTTTTATTAAAAAATAAATGTTTGAATTTTAATCATATATAATCGATTCGTTGGCATTTATTTTAAAATAAACATTTAAATAAAAGCATCTTAGTATGTCATGATGTATTAACTGCAAAGTGACATTCAACTGAAAGAAAAATTTGAAAATGTTTTTTTACTGAAATCTTATAAAGATTACCTACTCCACGATAAATATCCAAATGTTCACAATCATGCTTTATTAATGTCTTCAGCTTTTGGCAGGAGCTATATTTGTGAACAATTATTTTCAAAAATGAAGCAT